CTTTGTCTCGATAAAAGGATTCGTGAAATTGCAACGAACAGACCACGGTATCGATTCAGTCCACCGCTTCGGTAAAGATACGATCTTCCGTTATTCCTCTTACTCGAACAAAGTAACATGATTCTGTCAAAGTCCAGTCCATTTTCATGAATATCAAAAAAGAACTGTAAAATCTATTGCCTATATTTAACCATTAACCCATTACTTTGAATTAATTTTGCACTTCATATATTTCAAGTTAAATTCGCTGTTCTATTTTAATAATTTCGTATTAACATTGCCTTCTAATCTTAATTCATTCGCAATATTACCGATGTCTTCACAGCGTCAAAATTAGACGGTGAAATTCAGCAACAAATTCGTGACAAGAATACGGATCATTGTGTAATTTCTTCGTACCGAAAGGATACAGTAATTCAGAACAGACAGTAATTTAACGTTAAATGCCCACGACGCAGGAATACGAGCTACAGTCACGAACAAACGGCTCTTTATTCGCAATTGTTCAACGTGTCGCGATTCGCACGGACTAATTACGCGAACGTGCACTATTCGTTCCTTGCCCTCCTCCGCTTAGAACGTAGACAGGCGTGTTTGCGGAGAGCCTCAAACCAGAGAGACGCACGCGACCAACCCTCCCGCAATCTGCCAGGATCAATCGATCCTCGATTCTTGCGCCGCGGCCAGAATTGTCTCTGCCGGGAAATCAAGGCGGCTTTGTGTTTTGTACTCGAGGATCGATCCCCCGCGCAAACTGCGCCGTCCGGATAAATTGCGAGCGTATAAATGCTCCATTCGGCAACGACGACTCATTGTCTGCGCGAGCGGTTGCTTTCACCCGGACGCTTCAAGCACCGGCATCATCATCTCGAGGACGCGATTGCGGACGGAATCAATTAGCGGGGAATGCGGGATTATTCCAATTCACTCACTTTATACGGTACGATTGTACGATTATACAGAATTTATCTTGCGGGAAGAAAACGCTGCCGTACAATTGAGTAATTCTAAATTATAGGTATACAAATAACGATTTTCCGTTCTTTAAAATCAATCAATTCTTTTTTTTAATATTTAATATTTTAATATTTTAATCCGAGAAGTTCCTAAAATTTATTTCTTGATTTTATTTAACTAAAATTCCTAAAAAACGCGTCTTTCGTTGCCTTTGTTGCCTCGCATTACTTTTTAATACTTCAAGGATGCATATATTAGGTACCGCATTTCCCAAAACGTTTCCCGAGAGACGCCGAAATAATACACATCAAATATACATACAATCTGAACGTGTCTGTGTTTAAGCAAGAAGTTTCCCAGCAGCAGTAAGCAGCAGCTGGAGTGTTTCTCGTTACAAAGATAATCTCTCCGCGCGTACAAATGAATCGCTCGAGAGGAGAGAGCCGGGTGTTTGCGCTGGCTGATGTGCCGGGTCCATCCTCTAGTACCCACGCGACTTTGTGGGGGAGATAGAAACAAGGAAAACGCAGAAAAGTCGAATAGATCTGCTCGCGAATGCGAATCCGTTCGTGGAACCTCCGGGCGTCGCCACGTCGCTTATAAATAGCCACTGCATTAAAGAGAACTCCGTCGAGTGGATGAACCGGAGGACTGGAACGATGAGAGGGCGAGAAATGTAAAAACATAAGCACGATACTCTCCGCGATCTATTTCCGATGGACGTTGCACGGTTTTCGCGCGATTTCATAGTACCAGGTCCTCGAATCCGCGCGGCGAAACAGCGTTATTTTAATCCTTCCACTGTGAAAAAACATACTAAAATCACTCTGCAAAATAATCTTTCTATTACGTTGAAATTATTTAATAAAGTTTTTACCGTTGTGTCATTTTATCTCTCGAAATACGTACGTCAATATTACTCGACGAGAAACACAGAAGATATTTATTTGCATAAAATTAAATTTAATCAACGATTTCATTATTCTCTTGATAATGGAAGAGTTTAATGATACATTTAATGTTGAAATATTGATAAAAAGATGTCGAGTGCCTAAAAGTTTGTGTACAAAATCGCGTTTCACTGTGTAACTCAGTTAATAAAATAATAAACGGCCGTCTCTGCATTTGGAAAAGCCTTCCGCCAATGCATTAGTACAGTAGTTTTTTGCGGCCCTTTTAGTCTTTTCTATTTCGTTATTTTATTTAATCGTAATAAGGTTCGGATTTGAGAGATTTTTTTCCAGCGCATTAAACAGAATCTCTATAAACAGAATTAGTTTTGCGTCGGAGAAAGAAAATACTTAAGCCGCTTACGGAAATGAGTATATTAATAAAAACTGTAGTATACCTTTTAATTTTTTTCTTTATGTCGGCACAGTCTTTTTCGAGTGAAGGTAAGAAGAAAAGGATATACATGTCACTGAATTTACTTCGGGTTGCAGAAGGTACATGGATTGTATCCAGGTTTAAGAAATAATCGCGTCGACTTGGAGCTAGAAACGTTATGGCACGGACCGAAAATAGATCGGAATGCGAAATCGAACTTCAACGTGGTCGTTCAGTATCCATTGTCACTCCGGTTACTTTTACGAGACATTCGATGATAGTGCGTAGCAATCCCCTTGTATTCTTCTCTCGATGTTTTTTTTTCTTTTTTTTTTTATCTTTTATTACAGTACCGTGGACTCCGCTCGTATCTTTCGAAGGGTATATATTTACACACTACAGATACACACAAACACACACACACTCAACATGATACATATATATATATATATATATACACAAATATATATATATATATACACAAATATATATATATATATACACACACACACACATACACGTATATGTACAAACGTATATATAAAGAGTATACATAGATAGATAGGTAGATAAAACATTTACATACGTCTAAGGATATGTATTAGCCTAGTGCCTAATATGTTCGTATTTATGAGGAGGATAAACTCGTGTAACTCGTTCTTTCCTGTGCGAAATATTCAATATTGTAAATACAACGGAATGACGTAAAAAAAATATATATATGTGAGTGTTTAAGGAGAAAAAAAAAAGAATAATACGGATGGACAAATCCGAGCCAGCGGAGAAGCCACCTTCAAATTGTATTCTGTGCCGAAGTTGTCAATTTTCCGAGCTTAAGAATTTTCCAAATGGAATGACGAGCGAAAAGAAGAAGGAGATGGAATGATTGTTTTCAAGAATATCTCTCAGCTGAGAGCTCTTCTGGCCACGCGTTTGCAATTTGAGATGGTTTCTTTTTCGGCGGTCTTATTTATTTTTTCGCTTATCATTATACACATCGCCTCTTTACTTTATAATTATGATAAAAATAAACCACGGGAAGCGACGCGCGTCACCGAAAACGGTAAATATCCCCTTAAAGTACAAGCAAGTGCAAGATGTTGGCCGCTAACTAACGTAGTTGAGAGCTCTGTTAAGGATTGGATGGTAGTGAGAGAATGTGGGAAGAGGAGAGAGAAATGACAGAGAATGAGTGAATGTGAGACAGAACTAAATGCGAGGCACTTACAGTGGTGGGGCTTTTTGTGTGGAGGTAGCACTTTTAGACTAGTGGCGCGTAGAAACTAACATCGATTGTGGGAGGCTAGTGAATGAGCTTTTTCCTCCCCTCTCTCCTTCCTCCTCCCTTGAGCTTTTTAGCACAGCACATGTTGTATGGTGTTGCGTCATGAAATGAGACTCTTCTATCGCTTCTACGCTCTGCAGTGCGCTAATTATCGCGATCCATTAACCGATGTATAACACACACGTACATAAAAAATACATAACACGCACACATACACACACTCACTTGCACACTGTGTGTCTCCTTAACTGACAATCACTACTTGTATGTCTTGTCGTTGTTGCCTTCTGGTTTTTGGTTTCCTCCTTTGATAAAGACGGATTTTTGCCGCATTTCCCCCACACAACCCCGCCGAGATCTTGTTTCTTTTCAGGAAACTAAAATATCATTGTACGTGAAACGTGTTTGGTGATGTGACACCGCGATCGATACTCGAGAAGTAATTATCTTAATTACTGCATCGATGTATCGACAGAATTTTATCTCGTATTTTAACATTGTATTATATAATATATGTTTATCCAATAATATATTGACATTAATAATATAACCGATAATACTGTTTAATATTGAATAAGTAGTTGTTTAATATCTAATAGTTTATTAACACATAACAATTATTTTAAATTAATTATTTGCAATTATATCTAAAATCGTGTATTCAAACTTAAACAGAAGACTACTAGCTGTATAATTTGTCACTCCCTAAATCTGGATCAGTGGATAGTTATTAATTACCCAGTGGCATAGTTGACACTAATAATCAGTGAAGTTCAACTAAAAAAGGAAGAAGAATATTTGGATCAGTGGATAGTTATTAATTATCCAGTGGCATAGTTGGCACTGATAATCAGTGAAGTTCAACCAAAAAAGGAAGAATATTTGAGCATTACATAATTAAAATATTGATATCTGCACGTTAATTTCAATTTTTCGATATTCATTGAGTTTAAGCACTAAAACAAGGTTAGTTAGATCGCATAATAAAGATTAATTAGGTCAGAGATCTCACATTTAATTTACTGATTACCAGCAGCATACTTGGCACTGATGTCAATGATTATCCATTGATTCAGATTTAGAGAACATAAAATTGTAACTGTTGCGTCGTAAAATCGACTGATATTTTTTTTATATCAAATATTACATTAAATTAAATTAAATTATTTAATAATTTTTTATACAATAACGGTTCTGTTAAATCAGAAAAAAAACATACCAGTACGTTTTCTCAAGCATGTCTTATCGCATCCTTCCGCAAGCGCTTCCACGATGTGTATCGCCAAGTATACGTTCAAATGCAACGATTGTTAACCATCACCAAACATCGTTCAGTATCGCTTTTGCACTAACGGTCTGCGATATACATATGTATACATATAGTATCACGATGGATATGTTTAAGAATGATGTGCTTTTATCGTCTTTCAAGGTGTAGATACCAGCGTGCTGCAGCATCAAGGCCCGTTAATATCGAGCGGAGCCATAATCGGCATTGTCCTCGCGACGATATTCGTCATCTTTATCGTCATTGATGCCATCTGCTGTTGCGTGCGCGAGACAGGTGAGCTAGACGTTAAATCATCAAGTACAGCTTGAACAGATTATTGATAAATACTCTCACGTTATTGTAGTATAAAGGGGAAACATCGAGGTTCAGTTCGCATTCACATTATTATTAATTACGTTTATCATGCATTAGTTATATCTGCCAATTATGTCATTCGATAACAAAGTTATTTCGTTATTATTCATTATGGCTATAACATTTGATTCATATTTCGGAATTTAATTATAAAAATACATAATTTTGAAATCTAGGAGCAAATTTAGAATTTAATTAATTGTTGTATTAAAATTCGCATGTATAAAAGCTTTTTAGTAAAACGCATAAAAATATTCCGAACGCATGCGTGAAAAATTAAATTATAATATATAACTATTTTGTAAATCTATGAATATTAAAATATTGCACGTCCTTTTATTTTGATTGTTAACATTTTGTCACAAAAACGTTTGTCTCTTTTGCATTATAGGAATTATTAACTACATGCGCGAACGATCTCGACGGAAACCAGTCGATGAGGAAGATACGAAGCTCGGCAGGTGAGTCTCTTTTCGAATATTCGAAATCACGCAACAGTATTCTGAATATATATGTATTATGGGATACTCTTTTTTGGATATACTTCTACAGTTTTTACCGCATCTCGTTATATTATTACATATGTATTCTACATTATGCTTTGGCAAGTCTAGCGCTACTTTATCATATTATCGAACTTTGCACCCGTCATTGAACTCTCGTTCGGTACGGTCTTTTTTGTTTCTTCCGTCTTCACTCTTTTTTTGACTATCAAGTTCGTATTACTTCTTCATTTCGCCGATAATTTGATTAGATCTAAACGCGAGTCACAGAGAGATTTCTCTCTAACGTTATCTACACGATTCTGCGAACGCCTGCAATTCAGCCTCGCATAATCGCGTCTCGCGCGATAGAAAAGACGATAGTGATTGCGATGACGGTGGTAGAGTCGCGATATTAAATGTTAGAGAGTAGCCCGCCGGCAAACACAGAGACAACACTTTGACTCCTCTCGTATTTCTCTCTTTTTTTTCTTTACCGGTAGTCTTTACGGTTGGCGGTTTCCATTGCCGTATTGCGACCAAAAAATGGCCAATGTCGCCGGGGTCACGGCCATCCAAGACTCAAGTAGTGGAAAAAATACCATTAGATTGGTCAAACACACTGCCATGTAAGAGAGAAAACGATGTATAAGCGAAATCAGTAAGAAGCATGGTCCCTCACGAAGGGGCTCTCCGACACAGCTTTCCACTTTGCATGACGTTCTCTATTTTTTTTTTTTCCTTTTCTTCTCTTGTCTTTCAAAACTCGGAGATCTCTTCTCTTTTTTCTTCTTTTTTTTCTGCGTACTTTTCTTACCTGACTTCCCCAAGCGACGACGGTACCTATCGCTGAACTCATCCGACTCGATGTTCAGAGATGATCCGTCCTCGTAAGGGAAGTCATCGATACGCATCAAACAGAATTTGATGAGCATGGGAGAAAACACGTTCGATTCGTTGGACGCATTCGTTGTGCCGCCAACCACTCCCTCGTCCTGCAACACATTTATCTTTTACACTTTTGCGTTGCGCCGGCATCCGTGTCCACTCGTGGCTACGCATAGGCAGTGTACATATTATATCTCTCCCTTTTTCAACCGTGGGACGGATTATGGATAACTTTAACGAGTGTAGCACATAATGGATCGTACATTTCATTTTTTACTTTTTTATTAGCACAATATGAAAAAAGTGAAATTCGAAGTGAAATTTTAATAAACGTAAAAATTTTTTTAATTACTGCTAATTATTTTATTGTTCCAGATTTATTCAGTGAATAAGTCACAAAGGTGGAAAGAATTTTGTATATAATATTTTATTGAAAAAAATAATCTGAAAGAAGAAAAGACTTTACTTCCTTGTTTATGATTCGTGATTTATTTATAAGAAGTTAATTTCGAATGAATTGTCATTTATAAACTCGACTTATATTTATTAAATAGTTTTTAGTATAATGAATACTGCATTCAAATGGACGCGCTTTAGTGCTATTTCGTAATAATGCGCTCGCCGGTACTCGCCTGAGCTTTGGCCATGCCGCATGCACGATACACTTTGGAATAATGCTCACTTTGCCCTTAATTCTCTCTCTAGTTCCGTCACCGCACAATGTTGCAACAAGTATGCGAGTCTTGTTCTCGACCTGCCAGTTTTGTGCTTTACGAAGCGCAAATAACACTGCGAGTAAACGCTTATTATATGCGACTTGATATACTTTGAGTAGAAGTGGTGTAAAATGATAAAGTAATGAGAAAATTATTAAAACATGTTAGTTGTCATGGCGCACAAAAAAAAAGACAGAAACATAAGACACTGATTCTTTAGATTTTTAATGAAAAACGAACAGACATAATTTATATAATTACGTAAAAATATGGAGTTGTACGATTTCTAAATATTTCTATATATTATTTTGTAATTATTTTAAAATAGCTCAATTAAATGCTCCAAAAACTTCTTATTTCTGAAAATGAAGAAAATCACTTCCGCTCAATGGTCCGCATTTTTTTTAACGTTATTTCACAGATTTCGTTCAACTTATTTAAATTTTATTTCTTAAAAACGCGGGCATTATGTACAAAGCACAAGTTATATTAAAAAATACTTATAATATTATTAAACTCGCAAGGGTACAAATCGCCATCTCAATTTGTACAACAAATTAGTGAAAATTTTTGATGTAAAAGATAGTTGACAGCATATATATAAAATGTAAATTAAGAAAAAAAACAAGATCGTAACAAATCATAAGTTCCAGGAATTGGTATTATGGTGCGTGGTAAAAGTTCTGGAATGGAATTTTTAATATTTAAAAAAATATTGATTTATCAAAAAAAAATAAAAGTAATAGGCTTTAAAAAAGCAGATGTTGATATTAATTTGACTTTGGGATCTTTTAAAATCAATTTGGTAAACTCTATTATTTTTGTTTCAAACATTTTTTTTAGATAAATCAATATTTTTGAAATATTTTTTTGAAATATTATCCGTTTCAGAACTATTATCACGTACTGTAACTAAAAAATTTTTGAAACTTACGACTTATATGATTTTACCTTTTTTTTTTTTAATTTACATCTTATGCTATCAACTCTTTTACTGATATTAAAAATTTTCATTAATTTGTTGTACAATTCGAGATGATCCTTTGTCAGATAATTTTAAAATTGAAAAAAATTTTGTTCGAAGTATAATAAGAACCGTATATTTATATAATTATGGATTTATGTAAAAAATAGAAGGCAAATTCTTTTTTTCTTCTTTGTGCATATGCACGCTGAGAAAGTTGAACGCTGTTCAACTTTCTGAATGCTTGGACTAGTTAGGAAATTCCTCCAGAATCCTAATAAACGCGGCTTCCTCGGGATTTATCGGAATCGAAAATGGCATATGGCATATAAATCCGCGTAGAGAGAGAGAGAGAGACGCATCGTTTCTTCGAAGCTCTCACTACGACAGTTCTTTTACTTTGCGAGTGATAGCATGCCTGACGTGTGTATTCGATGTCGCACCACGCGCCGCATATGGACATGCTCTCCTTTTCTAATTTTTTTTTCTGCCCGGTATTAGAAGTTAATCCGACATCGGAAATCACGGTCCTCCGACAAATGTTGTCTTGACACTTTTGCAGAGACGAGAAGGAGCCGCTGAAAGAGGAAAAGAAGATCACGCCGATCATCGATTCCGGACTGCGCCGAGAGACCTCCATCACTTTTGACGGCAAGAGGTCCGTTTCCAAGACCGGCTTCGTCGGCAAAGATTCAGCCGTCTAGATATTCTTCCGGCGTACTAGATTGTAAATCGTTCCGGAAAAACGCAGCGCGGTTTCCGGCTAAAGTGTTCTCGAAAAAAAAAAAAGAATAAGAAAATGCAAAACAAGAAACGAAAAGAAGGACGCGCAGAGGGAATCATCGTATGTACAACATTCACGAGCTCGTTTGCGGGAAGACGAGGGATTTAGCAATCCGTCTCGCCGAATTTTTTCCGGATGAAACCTCACGAGATTTCTCTGTCGCCATTCAGCGCCAAGTCTCTATCGCGAGTCTTTGCTTTTCATTTTTCTCTCAAAAAAAACGTGCGCGGTTTCACAGTTGCACGCCGACCCGCCTTCTATCCTTTCAAAACCTCTTACCTCGTGTACTGCGATATACTTGCCGCCTACACTTCCTCGTAGAATCCCTTGAAAGCGCTTCCCGCCACTGATGAACATATCCTTTGCCTATTACTTTGCCACAAAGTTTTCACTGCACGTCTGATTTTGCGTGTAACGTAAGCTAACTTTAAAGAAAGGAACAAACTTTAAAAACTTGACATATTCTCCGCAGTACTTTTAGAACTAAAACTTTTACTTTTAGAACTAAAACATTAAGATTTTAAGACATTTGAAGTGAAAGTGAGATCGGAATATTTCATTTGTTCTTTGACTATCGTGAGATCGCTCGAAAATAACATCAAAAAGGTGGATCCAAGGTAGTTTTTATCGAAGAATATGTCACGTTTGAAAGATTTGTCCCTTGAATATAAAAGCAGTCTTAAACTCTTTTGCCTCATCATTGTACTCGCCGAAGCATGCGAAGGAGCACAGATAATCGATAGCTTACGAAAACGAGAAGTACGAAATAAGCGAAGCTTATTCAATAATTGCTCTTAGGAGAAAGTTATGAATATAATTAAAACATATAAATGCAAGGAAACGAGGAGTAAATAGATCATTTGCGCGAGAAGAAGAAGCTGGCAAGAAGAATGTACAAAAATTCGTTGTGCAATTGGTAGAGGTCGACTGATCAATTTAGATGAACGCTTCGAGGCACCCTTTAGATTATCACAGTCTAGTACGCTGGGTAGTATCGTGTCCTTTGTCGCGCGCGGCTTTAAGAAGACCGTGCGGAAAGTCGTACTCTGTTGCGCGTGAAGACAAACAAAAAAACTTCGTGTTCGTTCGGAAAGAATATTGCATTTAAAAAGTATAATCGCGTAAAAATGCAACGCTCGTATTCTTCACACTGTAATATCCAGGCAGCTCTAATTCGTTATTGAAGAAAAGATTCTTTTCAATATTGAATTAATATTAAAAAGAGTATTATAAGGTTCTTTCAAAATCTTTCAGGGAGTTTAATAAGACATATCTAAATTCCGATATTCGATTAGCGAAAGAATTGAGATATTCTTGAACAAGATGGAAATGGAGAACAAAATTTATTGTTAATTTCAGTCTTTGACGTACATTTCTTCAAAGAGTTTTTTTATCAATTGTTCTGTTTCTTTTTAGCGTGTTTATTTAGCAATTAGTGATGAAATGAATTTTAATTGTGTTTCAATTCAATTGCAATACTGAATCACATCCAGTCTTCTTCTAAAAAGGTTTTACTTTTAATTCTTATTTAAAAGGACAGCTCTCTTTTCAGAATATTAAAGACTATGAGTGTTGCTTTTATATTCCGCCAACAGAGAAAAACTCTTTCTCTTTTAAACGAGGTACGCGATTTTGCGACTACCTTCAAACTGTACATACACTTTGAACAATCTATTATCTTCCTTCCCATACCTCATCCTTCTTCATGTCTTTTGATTAGAAATGATTATCAATTGAGAGACATAAATGATAGATAACTCATACGCGATATATATCGACATGCTTTTATTCTCGACATGCTTAAATTCTTGACTCCGTGATCGTAATGTTCAATTCTTTTCTCATTTATTTTTAAATCTAAAGACTGATTCTTTCACGTTGCCAAATTAATGGAATCAATTATTGTTCAGGTAATTGAAGGAAAGGAAATATCGAATTGCATTTTTTCATTGTTTTGTCTTCGATCGCGCATTCAATACGCGTGTATTCTCTGTTGAGTTTTACGATCACGCGTGTGACCACTATAGTTATGAGTGAATTACTACTTAAATCTCGCATATTCTTGTAGCGAGTTCGTTCGTTCTTCGTACATTTATATAATCCATAATCATCCTTGTATATTTATACCTTTTTTACTTTTTATTACCTCGAGTGAGAAAAGCTCTCAGTTATTCTTATTTTTTTAGTTCATGATATTTTACAATGTATAGTTACTTTGTTAAGAGATGCAAGGGCAGCTCATCTTTTTTATTTTTTCTTTTTTTATTATTTTTAAAATTCTTCCTCTTTTTCTATAATGATAAAAAAGCTTTTCAATCTTTAAAAATGACAGATAAGTAAAATGAAGATAGGACAACTCTTGCGATACTGTGTATTTGTATTGACATTGCAAAAATCACTATGATTACGGTGATTAATTGTGGTTGTTCATATAATGATAAAAAAAAAGTTGAAAAGCACTCTATTCGCAGTATAAAACAGTATTTAGGATGCGTGCAAGAACAATCGACGAACGAATTATAATAAATTTATGACAACATTTTGACATGTTACCTTATTAAAAGTTTCTCTGAATATGTATAGTGTAATCAAAAGCAAATGATATTTACCGCGACAAATGTCAAGTTTTGCAGATACACAGAACTTGCGATCGAATTTTCAGTCAGTGATCTTCGAGAGAGTGTGACATCAGAAAGCTGCCATATTTAATCTATAATATCTATAGCGAGTAAAAAGAAACGTACCGCTCTTGTCCTAATGTCTAAGATGGCTTTTGCAAAAAGAAACGCAAACGTTAAAATGTGATAAGTTTTTGTAAATGCTTGTAAACGTTTTCCCTTAATTGTAAGACGTATCGAGAATAGATATTAAGAGAGTTTTGGTAGGTTTAGAACATGCACGATACGGAATGCGTGTCTTCGCGAAAAATCGAAGGTGGGAGACTCACAACAGAAGGGGAAAAACATTGTAAGATTGTTGTACAAACAGATGCAATGATAAATCCAGATTAATTCGCTCTAATGTGCGAGTTCTAATGAAAGATTTTACGAACTTTGATTAGCTTCGAATGCAATTCGAATGACGACTTTTCGTCTCTCTCTTTCTGGAAAGGAATTAAATTATCATTAAAATATATTAAATTTAAAGTTAATTGCATGCAATCGTTAATTTTGTAAGACGGAAATTACTATATTTCTGTGCAGAACTATAAGAGAGATGGAAAAGAATCAGAGTATATAGGAAATCTAGCAGCGAAAATCTAGCAGCGTTTCCCCATCGAACTATATCATTGCACCTGTTGATACATCAAGATTATTGGCATGCTTCCGCACATTCGCGAACACGCTTTCCGTGCAGATAGCTTTTTTACGTAAGACAGAGAATTTGCCAAATACTATAGTACTTATTAGTGCGTAAGTCAATGAATACATATAAATATAAATATATATATATATATTATACAAAAAAAATGATATATATGTACATGAAAAATAAATAAATCGCGGGACATTCGCGTGACGGATGTCGCGCGGCGACTTCGCATCGGCGAGCGATACGTGTCATCGTTTCTAACACCTCTAGCTATTTTGTATCCGTTGCCAAGAGCCACACATCCTTAACAAGTAGCTTCCCACAAGAAAGTATTACGACACATCTTCTTCATCTAGAGATCATTACGAGTATTAAAGTTCCGTAGATGTAAGGCGTATTTTTTATGTAATGCTTTTTCTGTACGCGACAAGAAATCGTGCTCTTGAATAAAATGAAAAAAACGTTTTCAAGATGAGAAGAATGGATGGATCGACAGGATTGAAAACCTACGCTTCTCTGGTTTTCCTCAAAAACTTTATTACAATAATCATAGGTAAATTTTTATATAAAACGACGTAGACGCAATATAACAAGATCGTTTGTATTGGTCATCATGAGAATAACAAAAGATCATTAATTTTTTACGACAAACGTGGCAGCGAAATGCGGATTAATCTAAACTATCTAAAGCACATTGCGATATCACATGATTCTTGGAGATTCAAATAATAATTCATTAGAATTATTCGTTTTTAATGATTGTTTTTTTATCATCGCTACTACGTCTGCAGCTATAAGCAGTTGCTATAAACAGAATGGCACTGCATTATTCTACATATATATATATATATACACATTATGCAAAACTCAGTAAAATCAGCGTTTGTACCCTTCATTTTGTCCTATCTTTTTAAAAAAATATCAACATATGTACAAATATATATGTACATATAATAATATCAACGTATTTTATTAATAATAATGTCAAATTAAATTATTGAATTCTCATGGAAAAGCATAAGACATTGCATATTGAAATAATGATGAGAATATTGTCTTTCTTTATACTTCAATGCCAGCATTGGAACGCTTACCTTTTTTGATCAACATCTGCTCGACATTCAGTTGCGGCGGTTCTGTTCGCGTATGCCACACATATACCTAAAATACAACATTTAGATTTTCATAAGAATCGCAAGTATATTGAAAGTTATCAACAAAACTTCAAATAAATTTCTCGATACCTTCGTGCAGCAGTCCGCCAGCGGCTCTAATTGATCCTTCGTGACTATTTGTCTAAGTATCTCGCTCTCCTGGTAACCACCTTGCACATCATACGAGAACCATGCGTCGGTGTGTTTAAGTAAGAGTTCAAGATTAATTGCGAACCCTGCCATGTCAAGTGGAAATGGTCGGTCCGGTTTCCACGCCGCGTTAAAACCTATTACTTTGTTAGTGACATTGTCACAAATAGGCTTTTCTACCATTAGACCACCGACTAGGCCAACTGGCCAAACGCCGACACTTTGTATTTTCTCCATCTGAAAGCAATAATTAGTATGTATCTAAGTAAAATGTTCAAATAATTAAATAACTAATCGAGTAGATGACGATTCATTTTTTCTAAATGCTTTAAATTTTATTTTTCAATTTGATATCAAGAAAAATAATCGAATCACTTCCGATCATAATTATTATATAAAAAGTTGAAAATATAAGTAAACTGTTCTGAATTAAATCGATGACTGAAGGAAAAAGAGATATATAATATTTCAAAAATGATCGTGTGATTTTATTTATAAAAATAATTCTTCGAAGGTATCTGCCTCACCTCGTGGAAGAGTTTGACAGAGTAAGTATTATCATCATCGGCAAAGTAAACAATGCCTTTGTTAGACAGTTTGAGATTCTCTCTAAGCCATCTTAGCGCCGCGTTTCGTTGCTCAACCCCGCGTGGCTTCTTCCAATTTGGATCGTTCCTGCCGAGCTTGTAATTCGGTGGTGTTGCTACAGCCAGATGGGTGTAGATAAGACCACTTGTTTCCAGAAACCGGGAGACCAGGGTGGTCTTCTGTGAGGCATCTTCCACGACGATCCAGTGAAAGTTGGACACGTGGAGAAATGTTTGTGCCAACCGGGTGAGTTCGGCCTTT